GATCCTACTGCTAAAACTATAGTGCCACGTGTTGCTTCCATCTGTGACTCGTCACAATAGGTTTTACAAAAACTTGACATCTTGGGATGCATGGTGAAATGGGCTATTGAGCTAGGATAGGTCGATATTTCATACAAGCCACGAATAGCCTAAAAGACAAGCTTTAGCTGATTTTGTGGTTGAGTTGAGTTCAAACCTTCAGGAAGATTTACAAAAAAGATGGTTCTTGGGAACTATTTGTCGACAGGGCTTCCATTGAAGCTCGATAGGCGTAGAAATGGTATTGATTAGCCCATATCGCCATTATTTCTATCAAGTGCAAACTTTTGATTTCAAAGCTTCCAACAACGAGGTTGAGTACGAAGCATTGATGGCTAGGTTGAAAATGCCCAGAGAGTTAAAAGTGCTTAAAATGGTGGTAAATAGTGATTTGCGGCTTATTGTTAATCAAATTACTAAAACTTTCCAAACTAAAGAATAAATGATGAATAGTTATTTTCGGACTGTTCAAAAAGAATTATGAAACTTTGAAATGGTAGAGGTAAAACAAATATCTTGATCTCAATACAGCCATGTCGATGCTCTTACTAGGTTCACAACCCATGATGAGTGGATGAGCTCGATAGCATCCTCTAGGAAGAGTGAAACATCCTACTATTGCAAAAAATATGATGGCATTTATGGTCATAGACCCCAAACCAACCTAGATGGACGAGATTATCCAATTTCTCAAGACCGGAGTAAGTCCCATAGATCGAGTTGCAGCTTGAAAGTTGAGGATGTTGTCAGCAAGGCATACCTTATTGGATGACATCCTCTACAAGAGAGGGTATGCAATCCTACTGTTAAGATGCTTGAATGAAGAAGAAGCCCTCTATGCTTTGCAAAAAGTGGACAAAGGAATTTGTTGCAATCACGTTAAGGGAAAATCTTTAGTCATAAAGTTCCAAGGCAATGATATTTTCTAACCTACCATGAAATGAAATGCTTTGAATTTTGTGAAAAAAATGTGACAAATGTTAATACCTTGTGCCTATAATTCGAGCTCCCCCAGACGAACTCACCTTTATCATAAGGCTATGGCCATTTTTCAAATGGGGAATAGATTTAAGGATTAAACTATTTGTATACACAAAGTGTACACCTTGATTAACACACCCCCTGTGTAAAAAATCTAGCAGTTAATTGGAAAAGGTGTTGTGTAGATCAATGTACTAAAACCTGTCAACCCACATGGGTATAAAATAATGTGTCAATCTTTATGTATATGTAGCATGGTCCTAGATTTAATTGGACCAATGCCTACCAGAAAGGGAAGAAAGAGTTTGCCATTATTGTTGTTGATTACTTTACCAAAAGGGCAGAGGTCAAGCCCCTCTCTAAGATAACAAATGGGCAGAGGTCAAGCCCCTTACCAAGATAACTGAGCATAAAGCAACAAATTTCATATGAAAATCCGTTATCTACATATTCGGCATGCCATACTCAATTGTCACCGATAATGGAAAACCATTCGCCAATGTACGGTTAAGGACTTTTTGTAAAGAATTCAACATTAGGAAACATTTCTCCACTCCTAATCAACCCCACTTGAGATAGGGAAATACCTTCTTTAGCCTTTGGTGCAGATGTCGTAATCCCACTTAAGACAAAGTTTCTTTCATTTTGAACTGCATTCCATGATGAAAATAGTAATGGAGAAACGTTATGCACCAAGCTTGACCCGTTAGAAGAAAATAGGAATGAGGTCGAGCTCAAGACTACCATTTACAAGCATAGGAGTGCAATGTATTACAACTAGAGAGTACGAAAAAGGGAGTTCAATATCGGTGAGTTAATGCTATGAAATATCTTCCTAGCTACCAGAGAACTTAACTTCAGATCACTGGGTCCTAATTGGTAAGTACTTTACAAAGTAGTTAAGATTCTCTATAAAAGGCTCATACGAGCTAGAAGATATGCAAGGACGTCCTTTCTTACATTCCTGGAATGCAAAACAACTAAAAAAGTATTTTCAATAATAGGCAGAATATGTTGTTTAGTATGTTCAAATAAAATTCCATCAATTAGAAATCATGTGTTCCAAAGTAATAATTGAATAGAAAAAAAATTTCAATAAAGAAAAAGAATAGCTCTCTAGTTGTCCTAATTAAGTGTACCCATGCTGCAATACTTAGATAAAACTTTTTATAAAATTCGAAGGCCTTATCTTCAACAAGCTGAGCTAAAGTTGTAAATGCTACAATACTTAGACAAATTAATATAATAAGGAAATAGAACAGCTCTCCAAGTGGCAGCCACACACCAAGAGAACCTAGGTCCGCACTCCATGTCATTCTGCCTATTTGTCAATTGGGCCAAACCTATGTAGAGGGTCGAGTCTTCGTGGAAGAAACAATGCAGGTAGAGGCACTGTAGAAGGATCTTCTATACGAGATCTTCCATCTATGGTTTATGTGACAACACACTGTAGAAGCCACTCTACCACGTGACATGTCAAGTCTAGACTCTATATGTCAATCTTAGGCTGCAAACGATCACAATGTTAAATGCACCTGAGCCTAGGACCAAGCGATTGATACCAATGACAAGCTGCCTCATACACTAGGATTATGCCACATGTCTCTTCATCCAACGATTTATAAGCATCACCTTCTACTATAAAAGCTCACACATTGTGTTATTTAAAAGTAATGCAAATTCATGCTCTCAAGCTATACTTTTCCTATCTCATGACTCTTTATAACTCCCGGACCCGAATCCCATTTTTAAAATAGGTGGCTCATGTCTGAAGCACGTCTCACACCTAATTATATAATCTTACAAATATTGACTTAATTGCCGGAGTGCTCGCAACCGCCTCTTCTACAGTCAGAGATGGTCACCTGCTCTAATGATTTGTCCAAGTGTGCAAAAGAGCTACATAGACGTGAGAGGAGCCGAGGTCTGTTAGCTACGTCAACCCTATAAAAATAGAGATCAATAGTAAAAAAAAAAATTTTAATTTAAAAAGGTCTTTTGTGAAAGAAACTTCGAAAGTTGTGTAAACACCTAAGGTTCCGTTTGATTTGTATTTCAATTTTTAGTTTTGAGTTTGAATTCATTTTGAGTTTTCTGTTTTAAGGGTATGTTTTAAAATTACTAAAAACATGTTTGGTTTGTCATTTCCGAAATTCTTTCTCAAAACAAAAAACTAAAAAAATACGTTTGGTAAACATTTTGAAAATTGTTTTAAGACACTTCTTTCCATGAAATTAAATTATTTAGTAAAAATAGAACATTTTTATACTAATATATTATCAAATAATATATACATTTAAAAGTTGTTTATTTTTAAAACATTTTTTCTTACTATGAAAGTAAAATATAAATAAATAAGAAATTGAGTTCAAAATAAAAATAAAAATAAAAACAAAAATTAAAGACGTGAACCTAGAATATTTTATTTTTTTTCATTTAAATATTTTTTTAGAATTTTTATGCAAATAATCATTAAGAGCTTGAACATTTTTTTTATTACTTTTCTAGAATTTTTTATAATTTTTTTTTCAGAATTTTTACTTTATACTATTTAGAATTTTAGAATTTTTTATTTTCTAGAATTTATAAATTTTATTTCAGAATGTATTTTTTGAAATTTAAAAAATTTATTTTCTTGAATTATATTTTTATTGTTTAAATTTTATGTAAACAAAATTTATTAAAACCCTTGTTTTTCACGTTTTCAAATTTTTCACTGAAAACAATCAAAACTTACTACATCTATATTCAACATAGCTAGACTGTTTTCAATTTGGAGGGTGCCTAACTTCAAGAGTCTATAGTACCTTTCCCATAAGTCACTTTGAAAACGTTTATTAAATGTTAAAAATTTTACTACTACTACTACAAAAAAAAAAAAAAACCCCACAATTGATTCTTCCATGTGAGAAGCAGTTTGCTAAAATAATGCATGAAAATTTTGTCGATCCCTTATTTTTTAGCAAAATCTCAATTGGATCATTAAACAGTAATTTGTCTCATTAATCTTCAATTTTGTCTCAATTTATTTTCAAAATTTACCACTTCGTCATGTGACATCTTCCAAATTGATAATTAAAACAAAAATTAATTACAAAAAATGCTTAAGTGGTAGCCATATAACAACGATTTTTCACATAATTATTGTGCGAGATACTAATTTACTATCATACTATGACATTTGGTGTTAAAATGGAAAAGTCATATGTTTTAAAGTTTTAATATAAAGATAGTTTCATAACCCTATTTTACCAGTTTACACTTCTAGGGTGTCACATAGCGATTAAGTGGAAAATCAGTTATGAGTGATCGCCCATTAAGCAATTTCCTCAAGTTTAGGGGACGATAGGTGATGAAATGTGATAAGAGTAGCGAAATTTGAAGCTAAATTGAAGTTCAATGATCCAACTGAGATAAATTAAAGTTAAGTGACCCAGTTGAGATTTTACTAAAAGTTCAGTGACCACAAATGAAATTTACCCAAATACTTGTAAAGATAAAACTTACAACTACCGTCCCAATTTTTCGATTTTATTTAAATTTGAGTTATCACATTCCAAAACTTAACTATATATTTGCCACAAATAATTAAAATTCAGAATTAGACTAAAATTTGGAATGATAATCCAAGTGGTACTATTGTGACTTGACATCAAATTTTAATAAGATCGTTTCAAAAAAAAAAAAATGTGTTAGTCAATACTATTTAATTCTATGAAAAGACGATAAAAGCTAAGTCGCCCTCCCTAATCACTAGCTAGTGCCTATACATGACTGTTTATTTATGTAAGTGTAAGAATAAAGTTGACATCAAAAGAGAGCCCATTGCCACAATTCAGGCATTATTTGCATGATTCAATTAAATCAAACATCAAACCATTTTCTTCCACGCTGCATCTTTTATCTATAACTACAATTCTTTGATGAGCAAGAGGGTAACTAGTCATCCTACACCTCAAAAAGTCGCAAAACACAGAGAAATGGACGCCACGGGAAGGGCTATGGTGTTGTTCTTTATCGCGGGGATGGCTAGTTTTATCATATTTCATGTGTATGGCAACATTTCGCTCACTATGGGTCGATATTTTCTTGTCCATCGTGACGTGCATCATCAACTGCGTGAACCCAAACCGTTGAAAGCTTCATTCTACCGGAGCTATTCAAAGTTTGCTTCACCAATACAGGCTACTTCGCCACCACGCGTGCATCATTTGACTTCTTATGGTGCAGACCCGAGTGGGAAAACAGATAGTACACAAGCAATTGTTGAAGCAATATCTGATGCACTAAAGGGTCCATCAAATGGGTTCTTGATGAATGGAATTCTTAATCTTGGTGGTGCACAAATTGAACTCGATGGTGGAAATTACATGATCGGCCGTCCACTTCAATTTTCTCTTGCTGGACGAGGCAATCTGGTGGTACGCATCCAATCTTGAAAACTCTTTTCGATCTGTGTACTTTTTAGCATAAATTTCACAACATATGGTTGTTAGAACCTGCAAAATGGTACTTAAGCTAGCAAGTTACCATGCGCCAAAGTCATTGTAGAATTTCTTAAGCCAATATCAATGCACCATTCAATGACAGATACAGGGAGGAACTATAAAGTCATCGGATAATTTCCCCAACGACGGCTACTTGATTGACTTATCACCGTCAGACAACAGCTCGTTGGAATATAACTATGAGTTTGTAAAACTAAGAGACCTCTTTTTGGATGCTAATTTCCGAGGTGGAGGAATTCGAGTTGTAAACTCATTGAGAACAAGCATTGACAACTGCTACATTACACATTTCACCACCAATGGCATCCTAGTCCAAGGTGGTCATGAAACTAATATCAGAAACTCCTTTCTTGGCCAACATATTACTGCTGGTGGTGACACCGGGGAAAGAAATTTTTCGGGCACCGCGATAAATCTAATGGGAAATGATAACGCAGTCACTGATGTGTCAATATTTTCAGCCGAGATCGGAATTATGATTTCAGGCGAAGGCAACACACTATCCGGGGTACATTGTTACAATAAGGCCGCGGGCTATGGGGGTATCGGGATTTATCTAAAAGTACCATCTGGTTTAACTCGAACGCGAATAGTGAACTCTTACCTAGACTTCACTGGTATTGTAGTTGAAGATCCCGTCCAACTACACATTTCTAGTAGCTTTTTTCTTGGAGACGCATATATACTTCTCAAATCCGTAAAGGGTGTTGCCATTGGAGTAAACATTGTGGATAACATGTTTACTGGTTATAATAAGGGTATCGATAACATACAATTGGATCAAGAAAATGGGGGTTTTACGAAGGTTGATCAAGTGGTGATTGATAGGAATAATGTGAAGGGGATGAATCTTAAGAGCACGGTAGCGAGGCGAAGCGTGCAAGGAATTGGAAGCTCGTGGTTAATAGACTTGAATTCAGAGCTCTTGTTTCCGAATCTTATTAAGCAACTACATTACACGTTCATAGCAAACGGGAATGCCTTCCCTAAACACGCACTGAGACACGTGTCAAATAATCAAGTGTTGATCGAGTCAGACGTGCCGGTTGAAGCAACTATATATATAACAGGGGATCAAGGAAGTTCTCTAGTAGCTAATTAACTTTATTTATTTATTTTTGATTCTACAGTTCAGATGTCGGTGTTAATTTCACTGTCCCAATCGCAACACTTCAAAAATGCCAATATTACAAATAACAATATTAGTTAGATTTGTTATGCCCCAAGGAAAGGACCAACTGAGCAAAATCCAGTAGAGGAGATAAAGCTCAAAGATACATGTTTAATCAGTCGATCATCTCATAAAATGGTAATCTTCATTGAAGAACAAGATAAACTTCTTATCCACATTTTATAATAATACTAGGTGCAAGCAACGTGCAATGCACGTTTGCCTAGTTTATATTTAAGAGCTTGTTTGGTAGGGATTTTTTGGGGGAAGAATTGATTTTGAATAGTGATATGATGGGAAATGTGTGGTTGAAAAAGAAGATAAGATTATTGATGTGATGGAAAATATTATTTTATTGAAAAATGTGTGGTTGAA